CCACCATTTCACCCATGCTCATAAAACGGTGAACCATTCTACCATCCATACTCATCGTCAGCTAGTGAGTCACTACTTTTCACCCACCATTAACGCATCATCCATCTTTCATAGGTAGCCTCTACCATCTCCCCAAAGTGAGTCAAAAAAGACTGCCATTCATCACCACTACGGTCTAGTTGTATAACCCTAAACTATAGTGCACGTTCGGGCCATATGATGTTAAAATGCTTCTCACAGGTCTCGAAGGCATGACCTTAAACATGCCTTCACAAAAAATGGGTATGGTGTACACCTGAACAAGGGAACGCCATGAGTAAAAATGACGGACGGGCATGGTTACGAACCATGAGTAAAAGAGTTATATGAAAACAAAAACCGTGGCACAGTGAAACCCCCAAAAGAGCACCGTGAGAAAAAACGGATAAAAAGGGTAGACATGACCGCAAGGTCATGGGTAAAAGAGCCCAAAAATAAAAGAAGTAGGTGAAAACCGTCTTTACGGCGCCACTTCCCCTATTCAAGTGGAAACCCGCAAAGGGCGCTTGGACCAACAAATCAAGTTGACACAGTATCACAGCCTCAGTCAACACCCGATTGCCAAACCAAGCATAATTTTGGCTAATGAGGTCTACGCAAAATCCTCAACTGCCAGCATCCAATCACAACGCAAAATGGCTCACTCGGGAGTGAGAGCCTCATAAGAGCTCCGACACTTCACCTCCAAAAACAACAAGAGCCCTTGAGGGTGAAGACAACGACCGAAAGATCCCTCTAAAATGCTAAAGATCCCCATGAAGGCAAGAACTTGACAAAGCCAGGGTCCAACCTGTCGGAGACTTCAGGGTTATTCCTCGCCATGAGATCGCCTAGCCAAAAACCTTCCTTAGACGACAAGCTCAGATCTTCTGGAAAGACCCATAAAAAGCCCTTGACTAGACCCAACAGGATGGGGCTCTCGAGGCCACCTCGCCAAAATTCCCCCTAGCCGATAGGCTCAGATCTTCAGGACAAGCCAAAAGCCCCTGACTGGACCCTGTTGGACAGGACCTACAAAGATACCCTGATCATCAAAAGCAAACTTAGTGTAGCAGCAAATAATGCTGAACAAAGGTTCATAAGACCTAGCTGCCAGATATGCCCGATTCTTACCAATGAGGTCCCTATAAAATCCTCAAGCTGTCATAATTGAAAATAGTCCCTTGCGGGTGAGGACTTCGACACATCCCTCAAAAATCTCTTCTCCCCCTAAACCACCATGGAAGGACCCGTACATTGTGTCCAAACATCTCAGCATCCTAGTTACAACATTGCATGGATCTGCACGGCAATCACGTATATGGCTAGCCAAGGGAAATTTCCCCAATTATTGTACTTCTCGCATCTCTTGAAGCACAACATTAGGCGGAACATGCTATTGGAATACATTTTTAACCATCATGGGTCCCCGGTCAATAAAGCCTAACATACAATGGAAATTTCGATAATCTCAGAATGACCTTAGAACTGGTCAAGATCTTTATGAGGACTCCAGAGAGTCTCATGCCAAGTTTCGTCACATTCCGACATCTCTAAGGCAATGCAGACAAAGAAACGATTTCGATAGAATCAACCTCTAGCACCTTGAAATGGACCCTATAACTAGAACTATATTTTTGATGCGTCAAATTGCTGTGTGACCACCGCCATTGGATCCAGCACAGTTGAAAACCCTTAGGGGTCAAATTTCTGCTTAAATAGACATTTCAGGAAGACGTTATAGGCGAAAAAGTGAAACAGGAGGAGCCGCACACTATTCCCGTGCGGCCACCCTGCAACTAAACTCTATTAAAGGGGCAGTCACGAATAGTGACTTTCGACGCTCATATCTCACCCGTCTCAAGTCGGATCGCACTCAAATTTTTTAAGCATGTTTGTCTCGACAATACAAGCGTTTCAATATGTGGCACGCCTCGCGACGACGCCCGAGCACAAAGAAAAGCTATAGAGAAGTTGCTAATCCGTGAAAAAAGTTGCAGGAAAATCAGCAGTGTCACACCTCGCTCAAGCAGCCAAATCACGCCGCTCGCGAGCGCAATCGATGTGAAACCAGTTCCGTTACATGCGTAAGGTCTAGGGATATCTCTAGTCCGAACCCGGTACATGATGAACAATTGAATTCCGCACACAAAGGCGATGAAGTGACTGCATATTCCAGCGTCGAAATTCCAGATTCCGACCAAAACTCGAAAGTTGCAAAATCTTCGTCCGGACATTGAATCGAGCTGCGTTTATTGTCACGCGATCGTGATGGCATGCTCAGTATGATCCAGTGAAGAAATCACAGATAAACATCAATGAACGAGCACACTATCGATCTGAAGTTTTAAGATTCATCCAAATTTTAAGTCTCATGATCATAGCCTAAAAGCACGATCCATAGCTCAAAGTTGGTATCAAATCGATCTTCATGCTGAGCCCTACAAGAAAACAATCATCTTTCGATCAAACGGGCACCAAAATAACCCCAAATCATCCATGAAAAATCACGCACGTTCTAAGGCAACACATGGACTGTTTTGGAATTCTACAAATTGTTAAGAATAGGTAAATCTGTCATTTTACACCATATTTTCCTATTTCTTTTAATTCAATTAAATCTTAATTTCCAGCAATTAGGTTCAATTTTGATCAATCCACCCATGTTTGGGTACAACTCTATATATACCACGTACTACCATTGTACACAAGAGGCTTGAACCCTTCACTTACTTAATAAAGTTTTATATTGCTTATTGTTGGGTCACGTCTTAGGAGATAGAAAAAGGAGAGAGAAATTTTTTGATTGGTACCTTTAGGCTTAACGATTCCCTTTCTTTCTCCTCTTTCATAGACGGTAGAAGTCTATCGCCCGTCGGTGCTTCACTCTTTTTTCCTCTATTTTTTTTTTTTCTCTTTCTTTCTCGTGGTCCCAGATGACCACTAATCCTCTTTCTTTTTTCTTTTACCCTTGCATGACCACTTTCACCCTTTGCACTCTCGGGTTCACTTACCTCTCATTTTCTTAGTAATCCACGTGCGTCTTTCTGTCTACTCTTTTTTTGCCACCGTCACCTCACCACTTTTTGGTGTACCCTCATGTTCCCTCTCTCAATATGTGGTCCCGTGAGGCTACTGTCTCCTAAATCTCCGTTCTTATCGCCGT